TGGAATACCCTTCTCTGACAAAACTAAACAAAAAATGGGATATAAACAAAGGACCATTTTGTATCTGTATATTCAAAATAGGATAGATATATAGCTACTTCCTTTTAATTCAACAAATAGAAAGATTTCTTCTAATAGTGTTTGTGCACAGGCTATCATGTCTGCATTTTGTACTATGAATAACCACTAAGAAGACAACATGTAATGTATTAATTATTGAAACTGTCCTACTAATCGGTTTTGAAATTGTCTCATTGCTATTTTTTTCTCAATAAAATTATTTTCAAAAATGGGATGGGGCCTTCAGGAGATATTTTGGCAATGTCTTAGAAAACTAATCCTATTCTCAATATATGACCAATCATCACATCCTGAGTATATTTATTAGTAAGTTGTAAGTTTATGTGTACATAAAACCTCTGTATTATCCATACTAGGAATATATAAACTCATGTCAATATTAATTCATTAGCATATTTACTTTAGAGTTACTAAAAGAAGTTTGTGAAAAAATCCTATAAGCAAGTATAAATTGTGGTCAATACTAAATTTATGGTCTTGCCATAAAGGAGTTTTGCCTTTGATTTATCTGCAGAAATAATTTAAATAATTTTTTGTCTGTGAAGAAAGCATAAGAATCTAAAGTAACACTGAAAAATGTTTCCAAAATAATTAAAGTAACTTCAAATGCACTTTCCAGTTATACAGATAAAATAAGCCAATATATTAAAATTTCAATTTTACTCTTATCTCTCAGGAAGAGTAGTTACATGATAAATGATATTCATAAAAGTATTTCTCCTAGTCATTAATTTATCAGAGATAGTTCCTGATATCTACATTCAGCAAAGTAACTCTCCTCAGATGTCCACTGGTATAATAAGTTCATTGTCTTCCTATATATCTTGATTAAAGGTAATTTCATTAAAAAGACCTTGTCTACTTTTCTAGAATAGGTTGGATAATTTGATATGTTTCTCTTGTTTCCTTCGCCTTCGTATTTATAAGAGGTGTCACACTTACATTACTGTTCAACTTCTCCACATCATTGTAAATTCCATGAAGACATACAGGTCCCCAATGTTTTATTTATTACTATTTCCTCAGGTCCTAGGTCTATTTGTTATTCATACAGAAACTTAATAGCCAGTTGTTCAATGAATAAATGAATAAACATGAACACTTCTATTAGCAGCAATTGTCACTGTGCCTTGTTTGGCACTTTGTGCTGTTGATAAGAACACAAAAAGGCACATTCCGCTTGAATAATAATCAAAATAATTGAAAGTAAAATGGCCAAATACTGAAAGTTAATATATCCAAAAGCATCTTGTGAAAAATGTACCTATCAGTATACTTTATTATTTGATTCCTTTTTAGCTGATGAATATATGTCAGAGAAATAAATGCGTTAGAGTACACATCCTTCAGAATGTTGGCACTAATTGAAGCAGCTGGAAAGCAGTACACAAATTTGACCAATTGTTTTAAAGACTGCTTACAAAATTCCAGGACTGATCGTTTATTATATTCTTAGGTGCAGCTTGAAAGGCCTCATATAGCATCACACCACTGTATATTACCACGAGGTCCATGTTCAAAAAATAGGAAAAAAGCCAACAAACAGCAATGAAAAGAAATGCTCGGGCCGGCCAAATAGCTCAGCGGATTAAAGCGCCTGCTTAGACAGACACAGGGGTCTGAGGTTTGATCCCCTGGCCTGCCGTGCCGGCCCCGCCCCTGGGGAGTGCTGAGATGGCAATTGAGACTGAGTGTGGTGGCGCCTGCCTGTAATCCCAGCTCTTGGGAGGCTGTAAACAGGCGGAGCACCACGAATCCAATCTAGTAATGAGACCCTGAACACCCTGTAGACCCTTCCCTAAAATACGAAAGAAAGAAAGAAAGAAAGAAAGAAAGAAAGAAAGAAAGAAAGAAAGAAAGAAAGAAAGCCTTCAATAGGGAATTTGTTATCATTTTTATACCTGTACGTGATGTGCTTGTGCTGCCACTTCTGTCCTGTTAATGCATACCGCTTTCGACGAACATTAAATTTGGAGTTGCCTCTTGTCTGGTCGGGTACACCACACCGAGGCTTCTTCATCCAGCTGAAAGAGCAGCAATTTCCAGTTACTGACCAATAAACATCATTGTTCATTTCAAAAGGCAATCAATTAAGAGGTTAATCTGAAGATATGAAGCAATGATGATGAAAACAACAAATCAGTACAGTACATGTAAAATTTTCTTGCAACTTGAATCAAAACAGACATTTTTGGGGGAAGGTCCGGAATCACCAGTTTACTAGTTACATCCTTTAGATAATTTTTGTCTGCCTAATTCACTTTGCAGTAACTGCCAGCTGAAGTACACAGAAGCTTCTAAATATAATACAATTGATTGAAAATAAGGTATATATCTTTGAGCAATTTATTAAATCCCTAGTGTCATTCAAATATGACTCTATGTATCACACAATGTTATCCCTCAAATTATTTTTAAGTCTCTTATGAGACTTTGAATTCCAAGAGTCAATAGAATATATGGTATTCCTTTCTAGTTTTAAAAACAACGAATTATTTGTTCATATAACATTTACAATTTCCAGTGTTTTTCTTAAATTTTCATCATTATTTCAGTTTCTGGGTAGCAGCTGTTTTCTTTGAGTGTTTGATGATAGCAAAATATAATTCTTAAAAAATATTTTACCAAATGTGAGATTTAATATTGCGCAAATAAGATTCAACATTTATATTTAAAGCATTGTTATGTCTTCTATTTTGGGGTCTTGTTTAAGGAGAACAATTTTCATACTTAGAGTAGATTTTCTGTAGTGTTTTACTAAGTGGCTTTACTGTTCACTGGCTAAAGCTGAATCTGAGGGGCTACAGGACTCAGATATTGGAAATAGTGAATGTTATTTAATGAATGCTGCATTGCATCAGGTACCTTGTGATTTCTGTACTCTCCAAATGGAATTGGCATCAGCTGACTATTTAAATATAGTCCCTCAAGGAAATGAATAAAATCCTTTGCCTGTTATTTGAATAAATGAGCTAATGTACATTTATAAACATCGGAATAACTGCTTACACCAGGGGAATCATGATTTTTACTTAAGATGACAATTTTACAATAAACATTAAAATTTTCTGCTTATTATTCTGCCTCCCATATTGTAGATACTGCATTTATCAGATTAAAGAAATTCTACTGTAGCTTAAATACCTTATGGGATTACTCCAGATAGTTACTTGGTTTATTAAAGTTGTCTAATCAAATGAAATGGCTTATAAATGCTAACTCTAAGGACTTCATGTTCTAGGAACAGGAACTCTACAGAGTTGGTGATAGAGACCTCTTATTTTTCACTAGCACATTCAGGGGACTCTTAGACCTTCTGAATTTAAGAGCTATTTCACAAGTCTATAAAATAGTCAAGGTACAGCATGTACATATTCGTATTCTCTTGGAAAATTCTTGAAATGTAAGAGGTATCCAGCAAGTATTCACTGAATGGATAGATAAGGACACTGAGGCTTTTCATCAAAGTGCTTATTTTACTGGATATCTTAAGAACCAAATACTGACTAAACTTATAAATATTGAGCATTACTGGTGTTTCTATGGTGATATACACTACTTTAATATATGGACAGTTCAATAGTTATTTACTTTTTCTTTTTGTTTGTTTGTTTGTTTGTATTTTAGGGAAGGGTCTGCAGGATTTTTAGGGTCTCACTACTAGATCGGACTCACAGCGATCTCCCTGTTTACAGCCTTCCAAGAGCTGGGATTACAGGCACGCACCACCACTCCCAGTCTCAATTGCTATCTCAGTGTGCCCCAAGGATGGGGCTGGCATGGCAGGCCTGAGGATCAAACCCCTGGCCCCTGCACCTCCTTGCAGGTGCTTTAATTTGCTGTGCTACTTGGCCCAGCCCTTACAGTTATGTTCTTGAAAATTATAATTTTCCTAGAATAGATACCTATTCTTACTTTATTTACTTAAAGTACAGGGAGAAATAAATGACATAACATTATAAAATATGAACATATTTACACATTATCAGATATGATCATACTCATATTCACCAATGGAAAAATACTTAAGAACCCCAAAAATATAAAATATATTTGCAAAGAGAATACATTGTCAAGGATTATTTAAAAATGAATAAAATTAGAAAATAAAAATAGCAATTTAATGCTTGCAGTTTGCACCATAAATCTGAGTTAGTAAAAATTCTTTCAGCAAAATGTGCACAGTTTTCGAAAGCCAGAGTTTTTACAGATGAATAAATATAAGATTCTTACACCAAAAGACCACCCTGCTGCATTCCTCATGTATATCTTAAGATTTTTGTCCATGTCATCTATTGTTTTTTAATGTTCCATCCATTTCTTCATCCATTTACTCATTTCATGGCTATCCATTCATTGTATGACTGTATTAATCCTACATCCATTTTCTAAGCTTTTACAACATGTTGAGAAATAAAAGTAAGCTTAAAAAGTTGAAAAAGTCCAGAGCCTTTTCCCTAGTAAGATCATATCTTAGAGATAAAATCGACATGACAAAGGAACTCACAATAGTTACCAGATTTACGCAGCTGTACATTCTAAATATGTGATGAAAAACCGTACCTATATGCACATGTAGAGGTTATTTTTCTCTTCCTATTTCCCTAATAGATCACAGCAGCAATTTACATAAAGTGTTCAGTGTATGAGGCATCTAGTTATCTAGAGATGACTTCAGTTAGATAGCAGGATGTGCTTACCATATATGCCCACACTACAGCCTTTTATGTAAGGAGCTTGGGCATCTGCACATTTTGATATTGTAGGCCCAGCAGGTACCAAGAGACATATCCTCTGTGAGCAACACGGGAAGTCTGGGATCCAACATCTCCCACATGTTTTCTAGCAAGAAAACATGCAGATCATTTCTAACATTACATATAATAAAATAAATATTAATATTTTCCCATTGTAAGATTACCTAATACCAACTTCTCTGAGGCCATCTAAGATAAATTTTTAGCACTTTTTTTTTCTTTTTTAGAACCAGGGATTGAACTCAGGCCCTTGAGCTTGCCAGGCAAGCGCTTATTCTACTGAGCCATTTCCCTGGCTGCCAACACTTTCTAATATTCAGGCCAGATATCCATCTTGTCAGCAGATCAGTCATGATGTAGTCTATTCATTCTCTGAAATTCTCTCATATCTCTCACCCCCTCCACAGTCTTCCTAAACACTTCAATGCTGACTTCCCACAGAAAGCTGTGTCCTTTGCACTCGGAAGGAATGACTTCATAGTAAGAGTTCCATTCAGCCCCACTTGGCGAGTACATTTCCTGGCTGCTACTCACCATGATCCCCTCAGGTTTCTACAGAGTCCAACCTCTTCTTGTTTTTGTATACAATGACCTCCACCTGGTTACTTTTTCTCCTAATTCTCCTTAGGAATCCCAAACATTCTTTATATTTAATGTATGTGGGTTCAGTTTACTCTGTCACTGCTGCACACAGTGTGATGTGTGTTATGATTTTCACGTGTCTGACTCCTTCTTCTCCTGATCTTGAGGCAAAGAAGCTTGCATGAGGTCAGGATCTAAGGCAGCCTCCAAAAAGCAACAGGCAACAAATGAGGAAGCCTGCCTCTCTTCTTGTGTCCACTAATCTCCCTCTCAAATCCTGTATATTTCATGACAGCCTCAGACTCATTCCAGCTCTGTGTTTATTAGATGGGCACAGTATGGGCATTTTATATATAAAGCATATGAAGTATACCAATTAATTGTAAGAAATAAACATAACAACAGGTATGATTTAAGAACAACTAAATATTTACAGCAAACAATTCTTAACAAATGTTGGTTACATTGAGAAAACTGTTACCTTTGCCAAAGTTTTTATTCAATGTTTGAAATATTTGTTAACTTAATACATAAAAGCAAGAGTTAATATGATATATATTTATATTTATATATTTGCTTATTATCAAGTAGCAACTGGCAAAACTGGTTGCTATTTCCTTCCATAATACATCATTTTTAGCCACTATTTTATCGCAGCTTTCTTGCTGAAACACCTGTTTTCTCAGGTGTTGACATATAGTTTAAAAGTGATTCATTGAAAAAAAATTTATTTGACACTAGGAAGCAAAAATATAGGTAAGGGACCCATG